CATGAGATTTAAGTGAGATAATGCTTGTCAAACCAAATAAAAATGCTAGCTATCATTAGTCTTACGATATACCATCCACAATTTCTTTTCTGACCTTTCCATTTAAAACTACCCCAATGCCTTTTAAGATTTTTAAAGCACAAGGACAAATAAATACACCTTCCTATGAACTGGGGACAGAAGAGGACTTGAGCTGGATATGCCTCCCTAGGTCAAGGGCAGACTTGAAGGTGATAAGAAACTGAGTAAAGATGACAAGTTACGTGGAAAGATTTTTAATAAGTAATGAAAATCACAGTCAGTCAGTTAAGAAGAATAATGAACACAGATGACATACACAACACACATAAAGAAACAAGGTCAACAAAGCTTTGTAAGTACCCAGAGAGCGTGTGGAAAGGCACACGGCAAATAAATTGTCCTATTTTAACAAAACAATATTTTACAGATACATATATGTATGTATTATATATTAATACATGTATACAAATGTATCATATATATTAATACATATATATGATACACATATATCTATACATACATATATATTCACCAAAAATGGAAATAATTCAAACTACATTATTTCATTTAGGGTTAAAGACAATATTCTGCTTATTTCTTATGAGGTTTACTAAGTTCATGCATTTAAGAATTACTTAAATTGACCCAATGATCCCTTTGCTGGTTCTAAATCCTAAAGACATAATTAAAAGGAAAATTGGAGTTACAGAGGTATAGGGGCAGCTAGATGGCTCAATGGATAGAGATGTTGGGCCTTGAGTCAGGAAGATCTGAGTTCAAATGTGGCCTCAGACACTTACTAACTGTGTGACCCTGGGCAAATCATTTAACTTCTGTTTTCCTTAATCCACCAGAGAAGGAAATGGCAAACCACTCCAGTATCTTTGCCAAGAAAACCCCATGGACAGCATTGGTGTGCTGTAGTCCTTGAGGTCAACGAAGAGTTAGACACTACTGAACAACAACAACATGGCGGCTTCATTTGTAATAATGAAAAACTGGAAATAACAAATAAAGAAAGTCAAGTCAAAATAACAATAGACATAGGAAGTACATAAAGGAAGAGAATTTTAAACTGCCACAAAATTCTAGTTAGATAAAATAGGCCATCTTGGTACTAATTTGTTAAAATGAAAGCACCACGCCTTTCCTTTCCTTTTATAACCAAAATGACAGGCAGCATGTTTCATATTTCAGCGCCAGTCAAGCATACTTTTTAATGCTGAAGTGTGGGGGTATGGTACTTTTGGAGGGAAGTGGTTTGTTATGTGTTTTGGCATTTGGGATAATATGAATGCTGTGGTTAAACAAAATTTTAAAAAAAGATTAGAAACAACTAAAATATCCAAGGTTTGGGAAATGGTTGAACAAGTTAAGGTATACTATATTAATAACAGGATTCCAAATGTCTTTGTGCAGTTTTAAGCTGTTAAAACTTAAACTCTGGTGTCCCACAAGTCTTTATGCAAACTGCCAAAGTGCATAGATTTTTGGGACACCAAAGTTTAAGTTTTAATAGCTTAAAACTACATGAAGACTTTCGGAACAAATTGTGTAACTGATGATCAGGGCATCAGAAAAATGATAAAATATGAAGGCTACAAGGAAAAACCTATATGAAGATATGCAAAGAGAGGTCAGCAGAATAAGAAAAGTGCACATACTCTGGCCATAACCACCTTTTAAAAAATGGAAAGGCATCTTTTAGAGCACAGATGAAGAAGAGGATACAGCAAATATTTTTTCTTATTTTTAAAGACATGTGTATATACATATACACTATATATATAATTATTGCTAATAATAAATTGAAGTAGTTTACATTTGAGTTTCCTTTGAAGATTTACTCCATTTTTGGTTAGATTATTTCTTTATTAGTATTTGTTATATTTGCTTAGGTCTAAGAGAGTGGTCTAGGTTAAGTTTATAAAACAGGAAGAGTCTATGAGGAAGCCCTACTTAAAAAAATTTTTTTAACCCTCTTAAACTAAACAATAAGTTTATAACAAAAATTAAAAAAAAAAACATTTAAGGGAACAGGTAACTGGAATGTGGAACAAGTGTCTATCAGCAGTCACATCTCTTCCAGGGGGCAGTACCTGAGTTGGCTTCCCCCAAGTTTACGTTGGGGAGGGGGGCAGGGTTCAAGTTCTCATTCAAACTCTCACCTCTACCCTGGAACCAGCCTGCTGAGGACAAGAATAACAGTTGTTCAACCTGACTAAGGTAAGTCACTCATCCAAGGCAAGGGATGTAGACTTTGTTCATTTTTCTCTGGATTATTTGTGAGCAGGGGAGAATTGGGGAGAAGGGATGAGGAGTGAGAGAAGGTAGGTTTGTGTCAGGATTGTCAGCAGAGTGGGGTACTGATGGAATGCTCAGGACCAAGGACACCACCTCCTCTGAAACTTGAGAACTGAGGGAGGGACTGTGAGGCATGATAGACCACCTGAAGGTCATGACGCTCATGGTCCCCTGCTGCTTCATTCCCTCTCACCCAGAAAAAAGGAAATCCTTCTACTTAGCCCTTTGTTTCGAACTAGGGGCGCAGAAGAACTCCACATACATTTGCTTATTCAGTAGACATTTTTGAGTACATACTTTGGCAACCCATTGTACTTAATAGTTCTGGGAGATACAAGGAGAAGTTTCTGCTTTGAAGGAACTTGAGGCATAGAGCTTTGGAGGTTAAATCCTAACCTTCCCTATTTAATTCATGACTGTGACTACAGATTGCATCTTCCGCCTGACCCAATTATCAAACAATTTCTGAGGATACATTACTCTACACCCACCCAAAACCACCTGAGAATTAGGCAAGAAAGTCTAATGGAAACTTAACCTCTGGCCCCATGAGAAGAGTGTGGCCAGAACCAGAAGGTATCATCACTTAACTCCCAAAGATTTCAAAGTATTTGTTGGGGGCAGCTACAATAATCCAATAATCGAGAGACTCAGTGGGATAATAAGAGCAAAAAACTCTTTTACAGTTTGTAACAACCCCACCCCCAAAAAAACCCCTTTATCCTTAAAAACAATTCAGAAGTATAGAGTGCAGCCATTACTATTCCCATTTTTTTGGATAAGGAAACTGAGGCTTAAAGAGAAGTGAGTTACCTATGGTCACTGAGCCTGATGAGGCTAGGTCCTCTCTATACACCCACGATGTTAGGTATTCAGACTCTACTTTCCAGGCAAGGAAGGCAAGAGCTAAGCTGCCTGGAGTCCCATGCTGTCTCACTTTTGCTAGACCAGCAGAAATATGCCCTGCCTCTAATGCCCATGGAGTCACAGGGATCACAGGATTTAAAGGAGGTGAGACAAAGCCCAAGGCAGCAACAGGGATTGTCTACCAGAAAATCCAAGGCAGGCAAAGGACATCAATCTTTGCTGCCAGCAAGTTGAGGGGAGCCCAAAGTGACAGGGAGTGAAGGAACAAGACTTATCATTGATGGATAAATCACTTATTTTTGGTGGGGTGTGGTAGGCACATGAGGGAAGCAAAGGTTATTTGGAGGCGGGAGGTGGAAGAGAGAAGAGTTGAGGTGTGAAATCTTAGGACCAGAAATGGGGTTTGGTGACCTGGAGCCATAAGAAAAGAAATGCAGAGAGAAAGCACAGGAAGGAATAATGACCCAGCGAAGAAATGGAACTGGGAAGAGTCAGATTGAGAGAAATCATTGGGGGACAGGGTGAGGAAGGGATGGTTTCTAGAGAGGAGAAGAAAAGGATTGAAGGACTAGGGATAAAGATGAGTGAAAGGTTCTAGGAGAAAGCATTTGCATTATTAATTTAGAAATAATAGAGGTTAACTGAGAAGCACAGAGGGAAGGCAGAACAGTGCCGGGTGGAGGGGAATCACAAGTGAACCTGCTGGGGTACATCTGAACTAGCTGCACTCCAGAAAAAGTAGATAGTCAGGAAGGGGGAGTCCAGACTCAAATAGGAGTGTGGGGGGAGACATGGACAGATGAGGGAAGACAGGTGTGAAGGGAAAGGGACAGATAAGGGGAACAAATGGGGATAGGTGAGCTGGGAACATGACAGGTGAGGGTGGCAGATGGACAGGAGAGTTTCAGGGGAAGGGGAAATTGATGAGTGGGAGACAGGTGAGTAGGGGGCAGGTGAGCTGGGAGCATGGCAGGTGAGACAGGAAGAAGGGAAAATGGGCTTAGAAGGGAAAATGGGGACAGGGAAGGGAAGCCAGGTGAGTGAGAGAGGGTGACTCATGCCTGAGTTTGCTGGAATCACAGAGGGGAGGACAGGAGAACAGGAGAGGTAGATGAATGAGGAGAGAGTTGCGCAGGAAGAAGACAATAGAGTGGGGTATAGGTAAGTACGCTGGAATCATGGGGATGGGGGGAGAGCAAACAAGTGGTCAGTGAGCGGGGAGACAGCTGAATAGGAGGGAGATAACTCAGTGAAGATGAGTAAGTGGCGGACAGGTAAGCAGAGGGGATGACAGGTGGGGATGACAAACAGCATGAGCTCGGAGGATCCGGGATAGGGGAGGTGGAGGAACAGGCAGACAGAAGTGGTCGGTGAGTGGGGAGAGAGACAGCAGAGTCGGAGGGAGACGGGCAGGTGAACAGGGTACAGTCGAGGTGGCAGACTGGGGGGGGGGGGGCATGGCAGACAGCAGAGGTGGGCGTAACACTACACACAGGAGCTCCCTGGCCTAGAATCGCAGAGGTGGACGGGACAGGCAGACAGAAACGGTCAGTGAGTGGAAAGATAGGTGAGTCAGAGCAGGACAAGGTGAATGAGGGCACAGGTGAGTACAGACGTGACAGACAAGTGGGGACGCCCGCAGGTGGGTACGGCGTGGCAGAGCACGGGCGGCAGGGGCAGCGCGGGCTCCCAGGCCGCATCGCCGAGGCGGAGGGGTCCGTGAGTAGGGGGACAGGCAGCAGCGCTGGGGGCGCCGGGGGCCCGGGGGCGCCGGGGGCCCCGGGGGCCCGGGCAGGCGAGCACCGTACCTGCGTGGGGCCGCGCAGCTCGCCCACGTAGTACTGCTCCAGCCAGCGGCGCGCGTTGTCCGAGTGCCGGTGCGGCGGCCCGTCCAGGTCGGCGCTCACGTCGCGGCCGGCGCGCGCCCGCAGCAGCTGCTCGCCCCCCGGGTGGCGCCTCACGAAGCCCGTGAGGTCGTAGAGGCGGGCGCCGCGCCGCACCCAGCAGGCGCCGTCTGCGCAGCGCCGCTGCACCTCGGCGGCCGAGAAGAGCGGCGGCGGCGGCGGCGGCGGCGGAACGGAGGCCATGGCCGCAGAGGAAGCGCAGGAGCCCGGGGCCCGTGTGCTCTCCAGCCCCGCTGCCGCTCCGCTTACAACCCCTGGCCGGGCCGGCCCGCTCCGGCCAGCCGCCGCCTCGGCACACCTGCTCATTTGCATGCCGCCCGCTCCCGCGCTCCCATTGGCCGCCGCGCCCGGCCCGAGGAGCCGGGGCCGGGGTACCGCCTTCGGATTGGTGGAAGGCCGGGAGAAGGGGCGGGGCCCGCTTGGGCGGGGCCGGCCGGGACTGGCTGGGGGGCGCCGGCCTCTGAGAGGGACAGCAGTCGCCTAGGTGAGGGACAGAAGTCGCCTAGGTGAGCGCAGTCCGCCAAGTCTGAGTGGCTTGTGGCCTCCGGGCACGGGCTCGTCCTCCTCCCGGAGAGCCGCCCTGGAGAGCAGGGCGCCTTCCTGAGGAGAGCGAGTCCTCACCCGCGCGTAGGAGGCGCCCACTGTGTGCCGGGCGCTGAGGTGAGCGCGGGGACACAAAGAGAGGCAGGAGATGGTCCTGGCCTCCAGGAGCTCACAGACTTAGAGGGGAAGGGAAGGACACAGGCATTCATGAAGTGCCTGCTGTGTGCCAGGCACTGAGCCGAGTGATGGGGACAATCCTGCCCTCCAGGAGCTCAGTATGGTAGGGGAAAGGGAAGGAAACAGGCATTCATGAAGTGCCTGCTGTGTGCTAAGAGCTAAGCTAAGCAATGGGGACAGTTCTGCCCTCCGGGAGCTCAATCTGATGGGGAGAGGGAAGGAAACAGGCATTCATGAAGTGCCTACTGTGTGCTAAGAACTAAGCTAAGCAATGGGGACAGTCCTGCCCTCCAGGAGCTCACAGTTTTATAGGGGAAGTGCCTACTGTGTGCCTGGCGCTGAGCTGAGTGATGGGGACAGTCTTGCCCTCCAGGAGCTCAAACAAGCATTCATAAAGTGCCCACTGTGTGTCTGGCGCTGAGCTAAGAACTGGGGACACAAAGAGAGGGAAGAGATGGTCCTGCCCTTCAGGAGCTCACAGTCTTATAGGCAAGGGGAAGGAATTAGCATTTAGGACGCGCCTGCTATGTGCTAGACATTGTGTAAGCACTGGGGATACAATGAGAAGCAAAACCAATTCTGCCGTCAAGGAGCTTCCATTAAAAAAACCCCAAAGCATTCATATATTCGCTTTCCCTTCCAATGCCCCTTCTCCCAACAGTTCTTTTAAGCACATAACATGTATGCGTAGTCCAGCCAAACAAATACCCACATTGGCCATGTCCAAAAATATGTTGAGGGGCTTCCATTCTAGTGGAAGATAAGTTAATAAACTAGGTACATGAAAGGTATAGGCTGAGTAGATGGAAGGTCATCTCAGAGGGCAAGGCATTAACAGTTGAGGTTGGGAGGTGGGGAAAGGCCTCCTGAGGAAGACCAGAGTCTTGAAGAGAGCCAGAGAAACTTAGAAGCAGAGATACGTGGGTAGAGTGTTCTAGGCATTGGATGCAGCCAACGAAAAGGTAAGGAGAGGAAAGATGGAGTGCCGTGTTCCAGGAACTACAAGTAGGTCAGCATTGCTGGTACATAAAATGCCAAGCTGTAGGATGCCAGGGAGAAAATAGTGTGCAGAAGAAGGTAAGAAGGTGCCAGGCCAGAGAACATTAATTCTGTTTCTCAAATGGGGAAACTGAGCCCCAGAAAGAAAATGCCTAAAGTTAGATTGGGATGAAAAAGGGATGGACCTAAAAAAAACTAAGGATGGTAGAATTTAGAGCTGAAGCAGTTCTTACACAGCCTAACCTCTCATTTTACAGCTCAGGAAACTGAGACCCAGAGAAGGGGCTTCCTCAAGGTCACAGAGATAGTAAGTCGTAGGACCGGGATTTGAATCCATGCCCTCTCTACTATAAATTCCGGGCTGATTATACTACCCTATGTTGCCAAAGCTCATCTTTCAACTCACCATCTTTCTCACTCATTTCTTCAACAAGTTTTTATCAAATATGATAATAAATGTAAAACTCTTTGCAGACCTTACAGCTGTGTATGTTTAGATGTCAGCTATGATTAGGTGACAGGTCCTGAGCCTGGGGGAGAAAGATAATTAAGGCATGGTACCTGCACTCAGCTGATCTTTTAATCTAACTCTGCTGAACTAATACAACCCAAAAGAAAAAAATTATATATTTGTTGTAGGAAGCAACTTAGCAGGATTTTTTTTTTTTGAACCTGTGATTTCACCTGTGGAAGGGGAGGTCAGGGGAGAAAATTCCTTTTATAACATTGCTAATCAGAAAATGCTCAGCCACTAGTCTTAGCTGCCTGGGTCACTGAGAGATCATGTGACTATTTCAGCCACAGATTCAAGGCAGAACTAATTTAGGTCTGCTATGGAACCCCATCTCCTAGGGCACACAGGAAATATTAGAACCAACAATTTACCTTTCCAAAGAAGACTCTTTTGGATTTTCATGAGGGGGAGAGAGAGAATAAGCATTTATTAAGCTTAAGTCTAGTGCTTTCCCTCCATTAATTATTTCCTATTTATTCTGTATGTAGCTTGCTTTATATGTATTTGTTTACATGTTGTCTCCTCCGTGAGACTGTAAACTCCTTGAGGGCAGGGATTATCTTTTGCCTCTTTATATCCCCAGCACTTAGTATAGTGCCTGACTTGGGGAAAGTGCTTAATAAATATTTCTCCTTCTGTGTGTCAGACACTGCACTAAGCACAAGTACAAATATTAAGCTAAGTACAACAACCCTGGAAGGTAGGCAATATTATTATCCCTATTTTACAGTTGAGAAAATGGAGGCAAATAGATGTTGTGACTTGCTCAGGGTCACACACCTAGTAAGTGTCTGAGGCTGGATTTGAACTCAGGTTTTTCTAACTCTAGACCCAGAATTTTTATCTACTAAGTAGATTTTTTTTCTTCTTTCTTTCTTAGGCAATTGGGGTTAAGTGACTTGCCCAGGGTCACACGGCTAGTAAGTGTCAAGTGTTTGGTCTGAGGCTGGACTTGAACTCAGGTCCTCCTGACTTCAGGGCTGGTGCCCCCCTGAGTAGATATTTAAATGCCAAACTTTAGCCTGGGCACCAGGTAACTGTCCCTCTTCTTAGATCTCAGTCTTATTTGCTTACACTCCTACCCTATGGAGAGAACAGGGACTGTGTCTGACCATACTTTGCCCCTCTTCTATATCATGGAAATGAAGGTGAACTGTGTCTGATGTAGGACTTTTTTTCATAGAACAATGGGGGCACTTCCCTTGTGTCCTTGGAGAAAGCCACATGTTTCTGGATGGGACAATGGGGGTAGAAAAGTATGCTGCCCGATGACCTGGCATTCTGGGGATGTGCCTGGCTGACTTGGAGGAATTCACCCCACCCCATCAATGTCAGAGACAGCCCAGACTAGATCTCAAACCTAAAAATTCCCCTCATAGTAGGAGCTGCAACTCTTCCTCTAGGGCTCATAGTAAGACTCCCCTTTCCTTTTCTCATCCTATCCATAGGGCCACTTCTAATGTCCAGTTCTTTACCATAATACACAGCTCTAATAATCTAACACATTTCTGTAGCAAGGATCTTACAAGGATCCCTATGATGTAGATATTTCAAGTGTTGTTACTTTCCAAGCCCTGCGCTCTATCCACTGTTCTACGAACTGCTTCTACAATATATTCTTACCACACATTCTCTCACTGGACACTATCACTGAAGAAATCAAACCAAGAGCAGAGACCCACCAGGAGAAAGCAACAGAGAAGAAAGAGTAAGACTCTGGGAAGTTAGGGCTTTTGGAATCTACCTGTTTCCCCAAAGCCCTTCCAAAATTCGACATTTTCTTTTTTCGGGTCAACTGCCAACTTGTGGAGTATGAAATGGAAACGTGAGTTTGAGCCTTGGTATGATGGAGAGAATACTAAGTTGGAGTCAGGAAGACCTAAGTTAAAATCTGACTCAGATATTTACTTTCTGTGTGATTCTGGGCAAGTCAAGTCACTTTATCTCTCTCAAGCCTCGGTTTCACCATTTGGAAAATGGGCTTAATAATAACACCCATCTCACAGAATTGTTGTGAAGATCAAATGAGATAACATATAAAATGCACTTTGCAAACCTTAAAGCACTAGATTAATGCTATCTATTATTAGATATTATTAAATTTAGGTTGACTTTAATTTGCATTTCTTTAATTATTAGTGATTTGGATTGTTGATCGTTGATAGCTTAGATTTCTTTCTTTGAAAGCTGCCCGTTCAAATCCTTTGACCATTTACCAATTGATACCAATTTTATTCCCTTGTTAATTTTATTCCCTTGTTCTGATGACTAAACCAGGTGACCAGATGAATAACATTCTTCTAGGGTTTTCCTTTTATTTGAATATCTAGATGAAGCTAGAAAATCTTTTTTTTCAGTTGCAAACCATTTTCATTCACCATTAAAATATGAAGGAGATAGATTTCTGGCTCACCATCTCCTGGTTAACCATATTTCATATGAAAGCTTTGAAGCCCCTGTGTTTTTGTATTAGGGAGAGTGCTTTGCTGAGAATTAGGGGAATTGCTTTTTTCCCCCCTTCCTGGGCTCCACCGCAGGTGGATTAGCTGTGAGACCTTCATTTGCTTTGTTTTATTGGACTTCAGTCTCTTCACCGGTAAAATGATCTTAAAGGTCCCTTCCTTCACTCAATCATACAGTTTTTGGATTTGAACTACAACAGAGAGGCAGCATGGAGTAGTGGCTAAGAGAGCTGGTCTTGAAGTCAGGAAGACTTGGATTCAAATCTCACCTCTGACACCTACTGACTGCATGAGCCTGGGTGAGTCATTTAACCTCTCAGTGCTCCAAGAAATTCTAAGATGATGTAAATTTCAGAGAATGTGGAGACCTGCAATGGAGAGGGTATTCTCTCAATGCCAATGAATGCCAACTCCCTCATTGCAATGGAAACCCAAGGAAATGGGAATCGAGGGCCTAGCTCTGTAGCCATTCCATCAGTTGGTGTAAA